AGACAAAAACAAAAAAAAGAACCGAAAAAGGAAAAAACTCATCAGCCGGAATGGAGGTCGCCACGGGTGCAGTAAACGTGGCTAATGAATGCTTTTGGCCCACTGATGGTAGCTCTGTGTTTAATTTAATAACACGCACACACTCACACCCACCCACTGAATGGGAAAGAGACAACACACGGACATATGTAGGACTCCCCCACATACACATGTCGGCATCTGTTTGTGTGTATGTTTGTATATTGAACAAATAAATTTGAAATGTTGACAACATTTTGCTGTTTGTTCATAAACGAGGCCATCGTCACCTGTGGGAGTGCACGTGCCACCACCACAGAGTCCGCTCCACCACCTGAACCACCCAGATCCAGCCTGGGATCCACCCGGAACCACCACAATCGCATCCCAGAGCCAGAACCAGAACGAGCCGTGGGGCAATAAAACTTGACGCCACCGACAGCAGCAGCTACTTCGCCCCATGGGGGCAGCAGACGCATAAAAAAGCAAAACTTTCATATTACTGCCACATGACTATATAGCCATATACCCATAGACATCGCCGCATTGCCCACACTTCTCTCATACGCACAACACCCAGCGAGCACTTACATTTCAAACCCATAAACTGTCATGTAAAATCCCAGAAACTTTCATTTGCAATTTGCTTAAAGTTTATGCAATAGATGCGCCACAATAAAAAGTTCGCCAAGGTGTATGGCCATAATAAACCTGGAGTCGCAAACGAAGCAAAAAGTCCTTTCCCCAAGATCTCATGTTACGACCGTCGATGTTTCTCTGGAAAAACTTCAATAAATATCAAATTTGCAAACAAAAAGTACTTTGAAGTATATAGTACAAATGTACCATAAAACATGAACTAATGTCCCCGGCAGCGCTCAAAATAAGAATGTTAAAGAAACCAAGAAAAGGATTTTAAAAATGAATTTATTAAGCCCATATTAACCTGTTGTTTAAAGTTAAGAAAAAATACATGTATATTTATTTGGCTAGTAATATTTGTTAAATATTCAACAGTTTAACACTGCAGGTGAGACATTCGATCATATATGGAAGTATTTTTTCCGACAAAGGAATAATTTAAAGTTTTAGCTACAAAAGCCTGTTATTGGCCAACATCGAGGGTTATTGAATTGTAAATAGCTTTTTTCGTTCTAAAAGTTACCAATCTGGCAATTTTAAAAGCATTTTTTCAACAATAACAATTCCGTACATGTGAAAAAGTCACCTTTCAGTTTATTCAACTGTGGAAAGCTTTATGATGTACGTAAAATAAATAATGTCAGCTCCAATCAATTTCAAAGTCATTTGTTACAAATTTTAAGTGCAGGCCCAATGTTAATCAAAATTAAATCCCATAAAAAGAACAACGACGAGAACTTCTTATCGTCCCACGCCATGTACACAGTTAAAAACAGGAAGTGCTTTTGCTGGGAGAGCTTCAGAATAATGCCGGGTGGTAAATCAGCAATGAGCAAGACGGTAATGTGCCTTCATAATTCAACGTCACAACGGCATCGTCATCATTTTTCTGCGGCCAACGCAACGGCGATGACATCAACAGTTCTGCATAAATTTGCACCCGATAAAAATTTCAAATGTTTTCATCAAATCATTTTCGGCGAACAGCAGCAGTGGAAAACCCCGAGAATGGGAGTGAGGTGACATGGGGCTCTGGGATCTGGGATCTGGGGTCTAGTCGTCATCCATCATTAATGGAGCGCACGAGGGCTGAAGGAGTTGAAATGGCAACTAAGCGCCATGGGCTACTCCACGGGAAATGCGGAAAATGCGGGGCTGGTAAAAGGCGGGGTCTGCAGCTGAGAAACGTTGACGATGACATTACTTTTTAATGACTTTGACTTTCTGCAGCAATTGGTGTGCGTCTGGCACTCCACTTCTCGTACCGCTTTTGTTTCCTTTTATGAGCCTCATTGAAGACTGGGCGTTCGCTCGGATTTTATACTTGCTTTTTATTTTTATTGGGCCGCTTTAAAATGTCCCTGCCTTTGTTGTGCTCTGATTTCCCTTTTTTCGCACACCGAACATACATTTTTTGAGTTAGTTAAAAGAAATAAAGTAATTCAGCAGAATGAAGTATTACTTGCTAGCTTATAAATTTACATTTTCACAAAATCTCACTGCCTTAAAAAGTGTAACTCTTTTAAGGATATTCAATGCCCTGATTTTTATACATCACATTGACATTATTAATACTATTTTAATTTCCGACATCCCGCCCATATAATACTTTTCACAAAAGATATATTTCATAAATGAAACTTTTTATGAAACCAAACATTGAGAGGCAAAATGAAAAGAGTTTTCGTAACCATGGGGTATCCATTACAATTAAAGTGTATTGCAGAGCGCTTAAAAATGTCGGCCAATTTTTGTGTAAGTTTTTGTTCATACTGTGCCACGCCTACCCTCCAGTGCCTGCCCATTTTCAGACCAAAAGACAGCCGCTTTTTTGAGTCGCAGGCTGAAACCGCCGTCGGCTGACGGCTGCCAATATTCATATAATATTTTCACTGTGAAATATTTTCTGCTCATAAAAGAAAATTGACTGCGAAAATTGTTTTTACCGAGGCGCTTGCAGCTCAACTACCTCCGCCACGCCCCCCCTTTTGGTTACCCCAGTTTCCCATTTTCCCATTTACCCACTTTCCCGGTTTTGCTTCACTTTTGCGGCTGCTCGTACATAAATGTGTGTATGTGCTTTGTTTACTTTTTTTGCGTGTGCATTTTTACGTTTTTATGCGTTATTTTGCATGCATCAGCGCGTTATTAAATTCCGCGCTCCACAAGAAGCGAGCATCCGGATCCTTCGTCCTGGCGTCTCATTTAACCACAAGCTCCTTGCCATAAAAGCCAAAAAATAACACAAGAAACATATACTACCGCCGCTCCGCCCATCAAATTCGGCACATTGTTCCGCCTTGAATACGCAATGGCTCCGTTTGCTCACTCGTATAAATTCGTGGCACTTCGCGGATTTTTGCATTCACATCCGGAATGCAAGACACGCATTTTCGCCGGCGCACGATTATGAACTTCGATACTTGTCACCTGATACTTTGGCCATATTTCCTTATAGGGACTTATAAGCGCGCTTAGTGACTAATCCCCCTGAGAAGGACTCACAGTAGTTGCCGTCATTAAGTCGAAATCTTAAGGGGTTGGTTCTTTTCATATGACAGGATATCGTTCCTAAGTAGCTAAAAAGTTTATTAGTCACTTATTCCATAGGAGCGGCGATGGCTTACTAAGCATTCATTTTTAGAAACAACATAAGATATCTTTTATTGAAATGCAAATTTTATAATAAACTGTTTACTCACAAAATCGTATATACATTCAGCCATTATTTTCTTTTAAACAAGGTTTTAAAGTTGCTTCGTTTTAATAAAGAACTGCTCAATTACTCTATCTTTATACGCCATTTCATTTCCAATCCATGTTTTTACAGAATATCAATAACAATCAATCTTTGTAAAACCTGATCTGTGTTCATCTCCAACGCTTTCTGGTATGTAAGCAGATAAACTTTTTCTGTACAGGTTTTTTATTGCAAAAACTAGCAATTTTTAACCATATCTTGTTGCATTATTTCTAAAAAAAAATAAATACAATGTGTAAAAGTGTTAGTGTATTAAGAAAAATAGTAAAATAAAATAAAAATACAATTTTATTTCGCAAAAAAAACTGTAAGTCTTACTGGAGCTTAACATTTTGTGACCGTTATTTCAAAGCGCTATGCTAAAAACTTGCTAACAGTAACATTTCAGCGGTTTCTTACAGTAAGATGTTAGCAGTCACCCCGCTGGTACTGTTAACCGTTAGCACAGTTTACCCCATGTCCTTATGTGTGCAGACTGTTAAGGTTGGGGTTGCTATATGTTATGTACGAAGTACTGTAAAGGCGACCAACTGTTAATGGAGTTCTGAAAATAAAAAAGTGCCCATACCAAAAAAAGTTATTTAACTTTAAAAAATTAAAACCATTGAAGGTTAATATGATGATTTTTATTAATATCTAGATTTAAATCGTAGTTAAAAATGTATAAAAAAGTTTAAAACGTACAAGCTCGTGTCAAATTGCCCGACCATAACATTTTCTCAGGCTAAATCAACGAACAACTTGTTATATTTCAATTGCATTCAACTTCCATTGAAACCGAGATCGAGTGATGGATGCTCACCTTTAAACCTGCTCGGCAAATTTGCAATAAATACCTGTTTCAGTGTACCTCGATAAACACATGCAATGCAATTCATCATTCAGCCATACACACACGGCGATGATCTGGCGGTGGAGCTGGGGGCTTTGAATGGGTTTTGGAGATGGGTGATGGAATCTTTTGAAAGGACGAGGCCGCCGCCAAAACGTCCCATTAACAGGAGCTCAATGCACAAAAAGTCAGATCCTATGGCTGATGGCTGGAGCCAAAAAGCGAATGTCAACACTATCAATCATCGCTTTGACAGTTTGAGTGCTTGTTTTAGTATTTGTGCTTTTGATTATGTGACACACACACACACTCGTGCAGACCCATATACGCCCACACATACTCACACACATGCAGGCGCATCAATTGATACACTTACAACAAATTGTTTGTAGTGGAACACGTGGGCGTTGCCCTGCGGACTGGATTGGATCGGATATGGGATATGGGTACATGGGATATATATGTGCATCCATAGGTGGGTCGGGGCAGGACCACTTGATTGATGGAGCCACCGACCTAAGCCATTTTAAATGAACAAATTGAATGTGCGGAAGCACACATGCACAGCCACAGCAGAGGTCGTTGGAATAGAAATGAAAAATATAATTTAATTTTATAAGTATCCGCAGTAGTCAGAACCCACAAACACTTTATAAAAATTATAAACTAAAATGATCTGAAAACATCCCTTGGATGCTTTTATTTCTCCCCCAACTGTAGGTTTGTATCTGTGGTTGCCTGCTGGTGATTATAGTAATTTAATTTCTTCGAACAACAAAACAAATTTGTAACAAAAATCCAAACCAAAACAAAAAAACCAACTGAAAAAACGCAAAAGTAAAGTGGAATTCGCCAGGTCAACGTGCGGTGTGTGGATGTGGGTTAGGTCGTGCTCGAAAAATGGTCAGTTGGCGTTGCTTTTGGTAAGCCTCTCGTTCCGCCCGTTGGCGCTGCTCCTCCAATTCTCGACGTTTTGCGTCCTGCACCTTGGAGTTCTGGACATTGAAGAGGCGACGCTGCTGGACACGCAATTCCGCCGACAGGTTGAAGGGCTCGACTTTCGCTTTTACCTGAGAAACTCCAGAAACTCGATTTGACGGCTTTAGGGGTTGCCTGCTGCTCTGGGGAATGGGTTTGGCCTTCGGGAACTGCTTCTTGTGTAGCTTTAACTCCTCCTCTCGCTCCTTTCGCAACTGCTCCACCCTTAAGCGACGTTTCTCTTCCATATCCCAAGAGTTCTTCAGCACATTGGGAGTCATGGGAACGGTGACACGGTGCACTGCGTGCTTGATGAACAGGCGTTGGTGTACTTGACGGAAATCAGGCATTGGTCGGCTACGGAACTCACGCTGCTTACGCTCCTGCTCCTTGCACTCACGGATAAGCTGATCCTTGCGACTAGAATAAATGTCCTTGAAATGATAGGCCTAGACGAGAAATTCACAACAAATCTATAGAAAAAATATGATTTTTCACAAAACTTACCTTAGGAGCCGTTATTTGTGGAGGAAATCTAGGTTTCTCAGAATGGATTTTATAAGTCTTGCTTAGACTGGCGACCAAGGCCTGAGAGTGTTGCTGGGCCTGGCTGACAATTAAGCTGCCACGTCGCTGGATCTGCTCCACCTGCTCCCGATGTAGTTGAATACTTGACAACTCATCAATGGCGGAGTGGAAGATCTGCCCATGGCTCGACCACTCGGACCTTTCCGATGCAAAGCCGTCCAACTGCTGCATGCCCAAATCGGACCAGTTGTACTCCATTTTCAAGTCCGACATTATTATTATTATACGAAGTAATTCCGGGTTTTGCTTTGTGCTCACGTTAATGCCAGCTAATGTGAAGTGGCTGGAATTCTAGTTACATTCAATTATCAGCCTACTCAGAGTCCAGGTCTCACATGGAAATGTTTTGTGCATTAGTGAAAATTTCATTTGGACGTGCTGGTATGAATAATGTAAAGTATTCCGACTGACACTTGTCCAATGGTTCTAAATGAGGCTAGTCGAGGCTGTCTGCAGCTTCCGCTCCCAACTGGATGCACTTCCAAACGGGGGCGCGGAGCAGGCTAAGGCGTGGACGTGGCACCCCCTTTCGGTCGTCGATGCTGTCACTTTCCTGTCCAACTGTCTGTCCCCGTCAGTCCAGGATGTCTATGTGGTGTCAATTTGATTGCAAAGGTAATTCAAATAATCTCATCATACACAAGCTAGCTGTGTATCCTGCCTCGTCCTGTCCTGTCCCTGTACCCCTGTTCATCCCCAATCCTCCTCATCCAATCCGCATCCGAATCACAGTCTCTCCCTTCATTTCAACGACAACTTCAAAGCGAGCACTGCAAATAAATCAAATTAAATTTAACATTTTTTTTTTTTTGCCTTGCTGTGTGTGGGGGAAATTTAATTTTCAGCAACTGATTTCGTTGGATTTCATTAAAAAGGTTCTCTATAATTAAATTGATTAAGAGATGGAATATAAAAGTGCGAAATGTGTATACATATATTTTAATCCGTTCCAGCTAATGATTGCGAAATACCAGCTTTTGGCAGCGGACCAAACAGTTTGAAAACACAGCGAAATAGTTTGTTAATTGGTTTTGTTTGGCGGGATACGCCCAGTTTTATATAGGGTCAATACGGGGTAATTCAATAATGAAATCTTAATTGAATACAAATAGATAAGTATTTAAAATAAATTCTTTGACAAAATTATAAACAAAAAACAAATTTAGCAATTTCAAAATGATGACATTTCGCTGGCATTTATGAATGCCATGAAAGCCCATGAGTAATTAGTAAAAAGTGTCGTATCTTATGATGCCATTAAGAGTAATTTTCCTTATTTATCAATAGGGATTTCACACTCTCCCTGTGAGAGCTGTAAAAGTTCGCTAATCTAGCATGCTTTTTGATTAACCACAAGAAGTTGTCCAGAAGTTTGTGGCCCAGACATGTGCCATAATCCACTCGAGCTGAGTAGGAAGCTGCCTGCAAATCACCCGTCCTGATTAGAACTATGTAAATACACATGTCAGTGGATCTGCGAGGGATACTCCAGCACATGTGCTGGTAACTTTTTAAAAGCCCCGCCAGATAGCCGACATTGCTTACAAAATAAAAGTTTGGCCTTATATCTCTGATAGACATTAGTAAGGCGAAAAGTTAACAAAGGGGCCAGCGAGTTAGAGTGCTGGGGAAAAAACTTACCGACTGATAAACGTGCCTCACAAACAGAGAAAGAGAGAGCAAAAGTTATCCCCGAAACTTGCCGCAAAACAAAAACTCCTTCTTCCTATCTCAGCGATAATTGCTCCTTTAACTAGACGATTTTTTTGCCCTCATTTCCTTTTGAGCAGACCCACTCCTGATTAGTTTGTAACTAGGGTTTGGGGGGTAGTGGCTCTGGGTCTTTGTGTATTATCTTTCAGTTTGCAATTAGTGGCTCATTTAAAAGAGATTTGCAGCAGCGACTTTTGCTGATTGGATGGGGTCCAGTTTCTAGGCGGGTCAAAGGTCCCGGAGCCTTCACAGTTCCCGGTTTCGGAATGATTGAAATTTGACCCGGAAAGCAGAGGCGGGGTGTGTACGATGCCAGCGCCATCCATGCGAACAGGTTCGCATCCGTGCAAAACATTAAACGCTACGACTTTTCCTGTACCCACATTCTTCTCGAATCATTTAACCCGAGCGCCATTTTCATAAAACGAAATTATTAAAATTGTTTATTCGGGTATGTCCTGGGTGTGTGTGTGTGTGTCCCGCCATGTGTGTCGCTGCTCCCCTTGGATGGGCACATTCTGCCGCACAGAAACATTATTGAGCAGTTAAGTGTACAGGAAAGCAACTTTAAATTAAATGGAACAGTGCCTCTCAAAATTGAAACTGAGAACGGTTATGAACCTCTTAAATATTTATGGCAATTGGTATTATCTTTTCATCTTACGATGTAGAAGAATGAGCTCAAAATATTTAGTTACAAAATATATTTATTTTATATCGAAATAGGTTACTATTTTTATTGTCTTTTTTTATCGAAACTGCTTGCTGTTACGATTAACAAAACTCTACTTGTTAAAAGGTAAAACTTTTTATCCATTTGTATCATCTATAACTTTAAACTTTTTATCTTGGCTAAGCTATGTTTATTTTTGGCTTGTTGTTTGTCGAATTATTAAACACTGCGATTGATGCATTTTTCACATTATTTGGGCCACAAATCTCACCCGAATAGAGCCGTTTTCCGCCACATGACATTTTACATGTCGGACAAAATGAATTGCGAATTTATTTATCGATATGTTTACGCCAGTCGGCAATCCAACAAAATCAAACAAACGCAATCCAATTGCGGGGACTTGTGGCACTGAAATGAAATGTGTCAGGCCATCAATTAATGAATATGTGCGACAGCGACCGTATTGTCAATCATAATTATTGATTGTCCATTACGACCTTAATTTATGCATAGCAGACGGAAAGTGTTCGTGCCGAAAGGCGGTAAAGAATCGATTAAAATGTTTGTTGGGGACATCAATTCCGCCAGAAATAGAAATATTGGCCAAATGGCACTCCCTCGCAAGCTGATTCGTGAGGTGTTGACATTAGGGTATCTATTTCGGATATTTATGGCATTGCCCTGCTCAGATTATTTATGGCAATTAATAGTTAGGGCGTTGGCCAACAGAATGCAAATTTAATTTGTTAGTCCATATAGTAGGAGTTGGACAAGGGAGAAGCAAACTTACCGGGCTCAGAGCCAAAGGCCAAACAATGCGCGCTTTCTTATCGCATGTCAGCAGCAGCGGCCGAGAATCCCTTTCGCAGAAAGTCCCACATGTCCTGCCATATCCTGGCATATCCTTGTCCCGAAGTCCAGCCGAAGCCGAAGCCTCACTTGACGCAACAGCAGACCAATAAACAAAAGCATTAAACCCATAAAACAGGGAACATGGCACTCTCGAGAATTAACACTACATTATTCACAATGCAATTTCGAAACAAGTGAAATGGTGATGGGGATAGGTGATCGAATGCGTAATACCTAATATTCTTTGATTGTTAAAGTTTCTGTAATATGGGAAATTAACTAATACGACGTGGTATCAATCTTAATGGGGAACAAAAGATGGTAATGTGATTTCTTCAATAAGAAGAAAGTAAAACTAAGATTTGATCATAAATTATAGAAGTTTTTAAATATATAAATTCAACTTTCCCAAGCCCAATATCCCCTTTTAACTCCTGGGTAAGTTTTATAAAAAATGTTTCAACTCGAAACGGCAACGAATGCGAATGCATATGGATGTGGTAGAATGGCATGGAGTTGGAGTGCGGTGGTGGGACGTGTGTTCATGTTGAAGGGAGGAGGGGCTGGTGACCCACATGTATGCCATTGTGGCCGCGCCATTTGCCTCCGGGCGGTCTTTTGCGCTCCGTAGGTGTCTCTCTGTGGGCCACGAGGATCGGAACTGGGATTGGTCTGCACCTTTAGCTTTCGCCCCTTTTTTCATTTGTTAAAAAATGTGAAAAATTAAAAATATTGTACGCGTGCACACACACAACAATGTGCGAGAGTGTCTATATATTCCCGGTTGCTCCTCGGTTTTCCCGTGATACTTTGCCGTGTTCCTTTTATGCATATTTCCCACAACACATTTTGGAGCCGAGGCATTCGCTTTTAAATCATCCAAAGGGGGGGCGGCTGTATATATATATATAGTTAGTTCGCGGCTGAAGTCGGGCTTATCCCATCAACAGCATCAGAGGTGCCCGCCCTCCCGCATCTCCTCCCCTGTGTTGATTTATGTTCGGAGTTTGCGTTCATTTATCATTACAGTTGAAAGCATTGCCGCTTTGTTCCTGGTCTGTTCCTTCCTTTTTTATTAATGCACAATATGCACAGCAGCCGTGAAAGAATAATACTTTTAATATAAGTTATTTTTTATGTTTGTGTGTTTGCAGGTGCCAAATGTGGTGCTTATCACAGCAATGCTTTTACCATTTACATTTTAAATAACGCCAATCGATGGCTTGCCAGGGGAATAAAACAATCGTTTGGCTGAGCGATGCAGTAATGGGAAAAGCTTTCAAAAAAAAAACTATTAAAAATATACAAAAAGAGCTCTCTACAGCTTAATTTAATCCTTTCGAATAAGCTGCCGAAACCAAAATTAAGTCGACTTAAAAGTAAAAATGCAAAACTGACTAACATTAAGGTCAAATGTAAACCAAGGCTATAGTATTAAGGAACATAAAATGTTAACCTTTAACTAAGCTAACATAAAACTGAGATATATATTTTAAAATCTCTTAAAAAGTCCTTACAAAAACAGCAAACAATGGAGGGAAAATAATTGGTTGACCAAATCCGTAGCTTCCCATAAAACTACAAATATGCTTTAAAAGTCCTTTTGTTAGAAATGGAATGAAAGCATTCTGTCGTTTTTGCGGCGCCGCTTAATTAAAGTCCTTTGCCAGCAGGAATTTTTAATTCCATAAAAACAAATACGAGCGAAAGGAGCAATGTTCACCGGAGACAATCGTAAAAGTACAGTGGGCCCTGTGCAAACAACCGAACATCATCAGCAGTCAGTTGTGTTTGCGCAGCCGTGAGTAAAAAATTCAAAAACATAAACGGAAATTACCACAAAATAGAAACCGCAACCGAAGTGGAGACACCACCCAACCATACAACCAACCAGAAACCTGTTTTGGTGGCTCCTTGCCCACAACCTCTTTGGGGTGCAGTGTCCTGGCTGTGGTCCTCGTCCTGGATGTTGTTGTTGCGCCGCAATCTAGCAGGACAATCTTTTGATT